TGTATATGTGTGTGTATGTGTGTGTGTGTATATATATATATATATATATATATTAGCAATAAACAGTTACAAAATATGTTTATTATGTACATTATGTATATTATGTATATGTATATAGTTACAATATATGTATAAATAGTGTGAATGTGCAGGAAGTTCACAGTGCTACATGTGAGTGAGCGGGCGATAAAGAGTTGTTTTTTGCGCGATTTGCACATTTGAACATGACTTAAATAAGTAGTAATGCGGGCTGATGGTTGTCAAAAGCTTGTGCTATCAATTAACTTTCCTCGTAGGTCTGTCTTCAAAATTTTATAAGTTACCGTTCAAAATCAGTTCCTCTCTAAATGATTGGGATTGTTGCACTCTATAGAGTTTGGTGTTAGCATATTGATTAGCTAACAACTTCATACTGCAATAAGCTCAAAATACATTGCAAACAATAATTGGATATAAAAAAATGTTGATTTTAAATAGTTTTTATGGATAGTGCTGAATAAATAAATTTTAATGGACATTTAACTAAGCTAAGTGAACTAAGTCCTCCCTTACATTTTGGCCAAAAATGAATCTTATAAGACAGCATAATTTGCTGCTTACCTAGTGTCAGCAACAGCCTATGCTTCTGCAATGCTGTGATTCCTAAAAACGCTTCCTGTCTAGTGTTTGAGAGAGAGCTTGGATGTGCCACCCGTTTATAATCTCTCTCTTTACTCCCTCAGCCGTGCCGCCCACCCCTCAACCCACAGATGACGTGGATGTGTACTTCGAGACCCCAGCAGATGATAAAGAGCACAGCCGTTTCCAGAAGGCCAAGGAGCAACTTGAGATCAGACACCGCAACCGCATGGAGAGGGTGAGTGAGATGTCACTCATTTACATTTTGTAAATGAACAGTTGTTGTCATGTGACGTTATGGAGTTGTTCCCATGTGGCTAGTGAGATCCCAGCCATTGTTTGAGCCCCAAGTGATTTGAATATGTTGCTCTCACCAGGTGAGGAAGGAGTGGGAGGAGGCTGAGAGCCAGGCCAGGAACCTGCCCAAATCTGAGAGACAGACTCTGATCCAGGTAAACCTCAGCTTCCATGCCAGAGGACATCTCGTTTAAGATGTGACAGTTTAGTTATAGGGTTTTTATTATTCTCTCTGCAGCACTTCCAGGCTATGGTGGAGTCCTTGGAGGAGGAGGCAGCCAGTGAGAAACAGCAGCTGGTGGAGACTCATCTTGCCCGGGTGGAGGCCATGCTGAACGATCGCCGTCGTCTTGCCCTGGAGAACTACCTAGCCGCTCTGCAGGCTGATCCACCAAGGGTGAGACGATGCACAATATCTAAAAAGCTAATACACCCGTTTACAACTGAAATTAACATCCTTTTTGGTGGTAAATGCAGGTGTTAAATGCTTTGTAGTCTGATAACTTCTACTACTTTCTGAGGTAGTATAAAAAAGCATGACAAATAAGAGTGTCCACAGTCAAAAAAATACTTAAAATCTACTTTAAAACAAGTGTTAGAAATATACTTATGTTAGTTTAATGTTTTTAATATAATAAAATAAATAAATAAAAAACTTTAAAAATATAAATAAATATAATAAACTTTTGTATAATTTTAAAGAGAATATTTATTTTAATTACTTAAAAAATGTCTTGTGGTGTAACCATCAGAAAGCAATATATTTTTTGTTATACCGCGAATACTTGTGACTGTACTCATCTTTGTTTTTTTAAAGTGTTTAAATGTCTATTTCAAGGTTTAAATATCATAACATTTTTGGAGAGTTGTACCAAATGACATTTTACAACCTGAACTAACTTTACCTTGTCATAAAGAGGTCTGATATTTTAAGAGACTTGTTGATCTTGACACACAGTCATGAAGGTCTGCTGATGTCCTGTTTTGTCCTGCATGTTGGTTGCACCACATGACTTTAGTTTGGCTGACAGATGTTTTTCAAATATTAAGCAGATTTTGTAACTTTTTATTTTTAAGTTTTATTAAGCTTTTTATTAAGAAATGATGATGAATTATTCTTATTCTATAATAAATAGATTCTACCAAACCACTTCAATATGTTTTTCTTTTCCAATATTTTTTTAAGAGGCTTTTTTTCACCATAATGTCAAGACGGTTGCATCATTCTGACATTTTTGACTGACTTTGTTTATCAAAATGAAATTAAAAATATGCTCATCGTAGTAGAGGTGTATTTGAGTCACTGAATGTATAAATTGCGTATTATTTAATAGATTTATCATGTCATTGACCCACCAATTGAGATGCATTTAAGATTCAGGTCAATACCAGGTGTGGATGGTACTGTGTCTCTGTTGACCACATGTGATCAGATCCCTTGAGATGCATGTAAATACCAGCCCATTGTTTACTTGGAGTGACTTCCAGCATTGACAGATCCCTTCCAGTTTATAAATGAGCATGGATCATGTGTGGTCATGTGAGAAATGCATGATCTGTGAGTGACTAAAGGAAGTCTGAGAGATAAATGCTTCCTTGAGGGATTGTTCTCATCTCATAATGACCAGATTACAATTCTCATACTTGAGTCTCTGATGGGCGATGGTTGTCTTTTCTCTCTGCTGTGTGATTTAATGGTGGCGGATTACCCGTCCTCTATTACCCTGCTGAAAGCTCATAACGGGGAGGGTGGCTTCAGTTACTTCAGATATTAATTTGAATTGTGCACCTATGTAATGTTTAATCCTCTGAAATGACTTGCACAAAGAGAGCCAGAGCTGGACTCACACAAGCAGGCGCGTGCTAATCCTCTTGTTATTTCTCTGTCCTGCGGATCTTGCGGCTCTTTGATCCTAGCGCTGATTCACGGATCAGCCAGCTCATAAGGAGACGTCCTCCTGACTCACCCTGCCTTTTATTTTCTTTCCTTTGTGGTCAATTTATCTTCTCTGTCTGTCTCCGCAGCCCCATCGTATCCTGCAGGCTCTGAAGAGGTATGTGCGTGCCGAGAATAAGGATCGTCAGCACACCATCCGCCACTACCAGCACGTCCTGGCCGTGGACCCTGAGAAGGCCGCCCAGATGAAGTCCCAAGTCAGTGTTGCCCAATCTGCCTCCCTTTCCTGCTAAATCCCATGTTTTCTATGGTCTTTTCTGACCTTGCATAGAGTTTGGGCCATTTTTTGTAACCGTTTTACTTGCCTTTTGGTCCCTGCTTCATATTTAAAGGGGTCATATGATGCGATTTCAAGTTTTCCCAATCACAATGCATTGGATAGCTGGCCAATCACAGCTCACCTCGCTTTTTCAGACCGATGAGCTTTGTAAAAATCGATGCGTTTCAGAAAAGCGGGGCATAGAGGAGCAACAATAATGTACAGTATGTGGAAAATAATGTGTTTTTTTAACCTTAAACCGCATAAACACATTTCATTACACCAAATACACAAAATAATGTTCTTTTTAGCAACATCATATGACCCCTTTAAAGGCCATAAATGACTCATTTGCAGAATGATTTCACAAAAAGGTTTAAAAACTGTGGCCGTTTGACTAAACTGGTGTTTGAAAATTATCATTGTTGCTTTCTAATTGGTTCAACTAGTGGCACAGAAATTACACACTTCTCCTTTAATCATTACAAATGGACATGTTTTCTGTACGTATGTACAGTGTTCAGAAGTTGATAGAATTGTCCAGGAGAGCCATGGGCGAGTTATCGTGACAGGATTCTCTTGTTCGAACATTATTTGAGAGATTAGCACCGTACTGCTCCTGTGTAATATCACACATTTGATTGAATGTAACTTTCAAGTCTGAGCCAATGGCGTGGCTTTATAATTTGCATTCCAGACTGGCCGCAGTCAGCAGCACCGCTGTTTGTTATGGGAGACTGGATGTGGCACAGACCCAGAGGTGTGCACAGATCTGAGAATCATGGGAAACGAAACCCACATTCACAACGGTTTATATCTTGTGTGTTTGTTTACTGGCTGATGGCAGTTCCTGTTTATTTCAGATTTAATTAGCGGCAAACTTCCTGGTGTCTAGTTTTGGGCCTGGATTTGCAAAACATGAAGAATAAAATCCTTAACTTCTATTTTCTACTTATTTTCTAACTTAAGAATAAAGTTAAGAATATTTTGTAGTCCTAAAAACATTTCTTAATGTTCTTATCTTTTTTTTTTGTTTGTTTTTTTGAAAAGAATGCTCTTAAAAGTCGTCATAAATAATGTCTATTAAGTTAGAATAACCTTCAGCTTAAATCTTAAATCCCCAAATGTAAGAGTAACATGACACTTGCTACATACAGTATAAGTCATATGTATGAAGTAACACTATTGATCGTTTATGTAAAAACAATGATTGATCATGTGGCTTTTTGCCGAATTCGAAATTAAGACATGACATTACTAAAAATGAGTCAAATCGGAAAATTGATTTTAATTTTATAGTTAATTTTAATTTTTTTATTTTATTTGTTTTGTTTGTTTTCTAGTTAATTTTAGGACTTTTAGGATTTTCACTCTAGACAGAGCGCAAGAAGACGAGCACAAATGAATGAATTGGAACGCCTGGTGTGATGTAAATAGTGTGCATAATTATGATTATTACAGTAATATGCATATAGTGTAAAAAGACTGTCTTTGAGGTGTTTTTCATTGAGCCAATCAGCACGTTTTCAACAAGAACCGCCATACAATCAGATAATAGCACTCAAGCTCAAAATTTTGTTCTTAAAAAAATGAGATGTTCTTAAGAATATGTTTTAGAACTTTTCAAAAATTGCACATTCTTACAAACCTCTTTCATGAGTTTATCTCATGAAATTTCTTAACTTTTTTCTTAAGATGTTCTTGAATCCTGCCCCTGAATCTGTTCAACTGTTCACGAGTTTTTTCAAATGGGATGGGGTTTTAACAGCTAGTTTACTCAAATGAAGATTCTGTCATCATTTACTCACCCTCATATCCCATTTGACTGACATTTGTGGAGAAATGTGTCCTACATATGTCTTAACCAAAGAAATGGCAAAAACCCTCATGGGATTTGTGCAGAAAAGTTTTCTGTGAATAATATTTTTAATTTCAATCTGAGCGTTTACAATGCTCTTGTGCTTTTTTTGTTCTCTTTTGGAACTTGACAGCCTCTGTGCTTTTATTGCATGGAAAATTTCAGTTTGAATTTTATATCCTCTCTTTTTGTGCTCCACTGATGAAAGTAAATCATACAGTTTTGGATTGACATGATTGACATCAACTGTTATGTCTCATGTAGGTTTTATAAAAGTACTTGGTGTTAGAGCAAAAAATAGCAGTTACACTGCTGACTTGTGGGGCTGCGCTTTTTATAACCATGTGTTTGAGAAATGGCATTCCAGTCTATTTTGGCAACTCCTCTCAATTGAGTTGAAGTCCAGGTATGACTGGCAGACCAACATAAACTTACTTACTTGCTAAAGCAACAGTGCGTCAGCTGTGTGCAAGAACTTTCTGAGGTCCAGACTAGGGATGTTCATTTCGGTTATTTTTCCTAACCGACAACCGTCATTTCTTCAGTGTGAAAAGATATAAAATATTTACAAAAATGTGAGGGGTGTACTCACTTCTGTGAGATACAGTAGATAGATAGATAGATAGATAGATAACGAATAAATAGGCCTATACGAGAAATATATCTTTACTTAAATAATAAATTAAGAAAATGAAAGAAAAACTGTAACAAGTAGGCTAGTACGCAGAGTTTCGGTTCAATTTTGTGCTGCGCGAAAGGAAACAGACGGCAGAAAGCGGCATCCTATTTTTCTTTAGGCTTATTTTTACAAAAGCACAAAGATTTGTTTTTATTGTGAATGTACACAAATAAAGGCAAACCTTTTACAATTCTGATTATGACTGACTAAAAGGAGTAGTTGTTTCCACTGTTAGAAGGAAAAAATTAAAGTGATTGCGCCGGCACCGCATGCGCACACACAGTTAAGCATTGATACCTTGACAATGCAGCCTGTTCATTATCATAATAAAATGCAGTCAGTCAAACATATGGGGAAAAAAAACCACACTGCTCAGTTTAAATATGTAGTCAAATCTGTGCCGTTAAGCGTTATCACAGTACCGCCGTGATGCTATGCAAAACATTTTGTTTTACGTGGATATTGGAACGCGAGTGAAGTAGGCTACATAATAAATAATAATTTGCCATTCAAATACATTGCGAATACGGAAACATTTGATTTTGTGTCGAATGAGAGACCCAACGTTGGTTTCAGTTTCGTTTTAGCCTAAATTCGTTTTAGCTTGTCGTTTATATTGCAATAGCCTCTTATATTTTTAATTCTTGTTCTTTTCTAAATAGGCTACTGTTAATTGAAAGGATTTGTTGTGGAGTGAGGGGAACTAAAATAGCCTAGCTAGTGTTTATTATAATGTCTGTAAACATTTCGCGTGACTAAATGACTTTTTAAACCGTTTAACTGATTGTATTAATCGGCCGAATTTCTATACAGTCGGTTAACCGGTTAAAATTAACATCCCTAGCCCAGACGGGAAAATAGCCTAGCTAGTGTTTATTATAATGTTTGTAAACATTTCGCGTCGGCATTGGGCCTATTTCTGAATGAATAAAATGTGACTTATACGCGACTTGTTTTTTCTCTCTAAAAAAAACAATTTTTTTTATACACGTAGCGTATTTTAACCTTGCAGCAAATCTTTTTAAATATTTTGATAAATTACTGAAAAAAAACTAAATAAATGACTTTTTAAACTGTTTAACTGATTGTATTAATCGGTCGAATTTCTATACAGTCAGTTAACCGGTTAAAATTAACATCCCTAGTCCAGACGGGCGCCTAGAGGGTCTACAAGGACATTTCAGTTTCCCCCTTCTTTTTCTTCAGATATATAGGCCCTTCATTGCCATCTGTTGCTGGTTTTTGAGAATTGCACACAAATGTGGTGACAACAAAGGAACAGGCGTGGTTGCTCGTACACACTCACACTGTTTCTTCTCCTCACTGTTTACGCATTAAGATTGCCACAGAGCTTTTGTGTTTTTTTTGTGTTACATTAATCCATCCAACATTACACAACCACAGACATGTTCCATCCTGCAGAATGGAGCCTTTTTATAAATATCGTCCTCTGTTTTAAAAGTGTGTCTGGGTTTCCTAGGTGATGACCCACCTGCGGGTGATTGAGGAGAGGATGAACCAGAGCCTGTCTCTGCTCTATAAGGTGCCCTACGTCGCAGAGGAGATCCAGGATGAGATCGGTAAGTGTGGAGATCTGGATCAGGTTTGGAAAACGGTGGAAATGGGTGTTTTTGAACACACAACAAGCAAGAAACGAGTGAGAGGTGCTCTTGTTAAAAAGTGTGATTTGTAGGTTGGGCTGATCCAAGAGTTAGTTTTTTTTGTTTTATTGTTTAAATCTCTCGCTTTTTTATTGCTTGATTTTTATTTTTTTTGGCACATTACTTCCTTTTGTCACATTATATTATTTGTATCATGAAATTGAGTAACACGGTGAGTACTAGTGGCAGGTATTTTCCTCTGTTGCTAGGTAACGACTCAGAAGAAGGTGTCAGCTTCAATGTTTTACTCATGTTTTTGTCGGTTTGGTTTTACTACTGACTGTAAATGCACAACAGTGTCTGCTGCTGAGAATACACTGCTTCTGTCTGCCACAGATCCACCGCAAGAGATCAAGTTTGTGAGATGTTTGCTTGCAAAACTCAAGTGCAGCCATCCAGTTTTTTTAGTGGCTTTGGTTCTGGAAGTATTTTTCTCATTAATTTTCTCCACAGGGAATTGAAAAAAGCCATGAATTAAATCAACATACTCTGAGATGAATCAAAAAATTGCAAACTTTGATTGGAAGCGAAAGGAGTATGTTTAAACGGAAAAAAATTAATTGTGTATTTAAATTCTTCTATGAGGGAATGAACTACAATCCCAGGAAATACCGCAAATGATGTAATCAAATCAGAAACTATAGTACGAAGTACAATTATTCGCTCATAATCATTGAGTATGAAATTCTCTAATTGTAGGAAGACTCTTGTATCATTTGTGATACTTTATGGAATATCTGGTCGTTGCTAAACCCTGCTTTCTTTCTGTAATGACAACAACTCTGGTGGATCACTGTGCAGGATTATGGGTAGTGTAGTTCTTCAGTGGTATTTGGCATATTAAAGCTGGCATAAAATGCTCTTTTATTAAATGCATGTTATTGATCTTATCAACAATTCATCCATGGATGCATTTCATTTTTTATTTTTTTTTATTTGCCTCATAGTTTTAATAAAATTTTTATAACTCAACCCTGCCCATTTCTTACTATCGACTGCAAACTCACATTCAGATTTTTAACATTATTGTTAAAAATCACTTTCCTTATGGAGAAAATGTTTAAGATTCTCTGTTTCCCTGTTCTCTGTTTCCGTACAACCAAACAACGAGCAGTTCATGTTACTTAAATAGGCAGATTGTATGTAATCAATACTGATCCATTCTTGCAAGTTAGGTCTGATTACATTTAAACATATCGTGAACTGAACCCCAAACCTCCCTTTTCAATGTGTCTCGCTTGAGTGTGCATATGAGCTCGACAAACTAGACTCTGATGTCAAACCCTAAAGCTCCCTTGATTTATCATGGATAAAGCTGTACAAAGATTTTCGGCCTGTTTTATGCATTCTTTTGTCCTGCTTTGAGCGTTTAGTCCCCTAAACAACTGCACAATCCCTCTGCATCTCAGATGCCAAGATAATTACACCTGTATGAAAAGCTTGCCTTCAGTAATTAGCGCTCTCTCTCTCTCTCTCTCTCTCTCTCGCATACACATACACATACACACACACACACACACACACACACACAAAGTGTAATTTGGCTTCTCCTTTTATCACTCAGTTTGAAAACATCTCACCGCAATCAAAGTAAATTAGAGTGTTCTGAAGCGTTTGTTGTGCCGTCCTCTTTGTTTCAGGTGGAAACAGTCAAGCTGTTCCCAGAGACGCCCCTCTGCACTTGCATGTTTTTTTTCTCTTCCTTCGTTCATTTTATGAGAGGAGCCGTGGCATTGTGTAGTATAGATGAGACTAGTGTGTGGGGTTTGACAGAACTGGGTCAAGACTCCTCCAGATTCCCACTAGTGTGTGAAGATGTGTAGTTTTTAAGCCAGACTCTGTGCAGAATGTTTTTGCAAGTTTAGAGAAGTAGAAAGGGTCATTTTAGCTTCACCGATGCCTGGAAATGCCGCAGTACGGAACCTCGTAATGGATAATTGATCGCGTTTATGACCGCTTCGTGCCTCGTTTAATGGTTTTAGGAATAGATCCCTTCCAGCATCTCTTCCCTCCTGTGATTTTCTGTTTTTAACCATGTTCCTCTCTGTATCTCCCAATTCAGATGAACTTCTGCAGGATCAAAAGGCAGATATGGACCAGTTCCTGTCCTCCATCTCTGAATCTCAGCCTGATGTTACTGTGTCCTCTGAGGAGAGCGTGGAGGTTCCTGCCTTTGAAGGAAAGCCTTTCCGCCCCTTCCAGGTCAACACTCTGGGCTCCCCCGCTGAACCCGAGGGTACGTTTCTTGTCTAAATTTACACAGGCAAACCATTAAGGCTCTCGGTTGCTCTCCTCGGTCTCTCAATATGGCACTGTTGCCGAGGCAGGTTTTGTATCAGTGTCATGCCACTACCCCCTTCACTATTGGGAAAAACAGCTTAACCCTCTTAGCTGGTTTAAGCTGGTCTCCCAGCCTGAGTTAAGCCTGCACACCTGAAAAGTGTCCAAACCCCTTCTAAAACCAGAAAATGGATCAGTCTGGGAGACCAACTAAGACCAGCAAACCAGCTTAGACTGGTTTAAGTTGTTTTTCATCAGGGTTGGACCCCGTAGCACTTAAAAAGAAAATAAGATAATACCCTTTGGAAAATTGAATATCATATTTCCACTTCCGATTGAATATTGTGCTTCTAGTACTATACTGTTATTACCGTTGCTAACACTGAGAGCATTCTGTGAAGGTTTGATATGATTTCCTGTAGTAACTCCAGGAGAATATGCTTGTTTAGTAGGCTAAATGGTTAACTAAAGTAGCTATAAACTAACTTAAAACGCAAAGCAAGGCAAATGTTTAATCTGACATTATTATTATTATATATGTACATATGATATAGTAATTTCATGTGATAAGAGATATATGCTGTAAAATATTAAATTGTTTATGAATCTACATTTATCAGCAAACTGTATTCAGCCAGTATTTAGCATGGCACCAGTTATAAAACTTAGTTAACTCATTATTACCCACAGCCTACTAGAGTGAATCTTATAAAACCTGCTAGGGTCATATAAATTTTTTTTATTAAATATACAAAATGAAGCAAATATATATTAGTTTGCTTTGTGACTTTATGAAAGTACAAAAATATTATTTTATTATATAAATATTCAAATATATTAATTAAAATGTATAATAAATCAAATATATTAATAATAAATATATTATAAATAAATAAACAAATACTGGTCCTAAAAAAATAATTTTCTTCATGCAAAATAAGATTTTTCTTTTTTATTTCGGGGTGAAATGTGAACTGGAAGTTTTCCAGGAAAGGTTCAGCCATCAGTACCTTGTTCACACGTTTTTCTCTGGCTGGCTCTTGTTTAAAGTGTCTGATCTGAGCCAGTACTAAAGGTCTGCTTATAGCTTTTCACTCAAAGCCGGTCAGGTGAAGCTCATGGCAGCATGAGGCCTGTTCGCGTTAACGTTTTCTAAATGCTGAATGAAGCACCGAAGTCCAAATATTGCACTCGGACCATAGGTTTCTGCTTATCTAAGCTTTCCTGAATCCCCATTGGCATCGCCTTAAACACCATGTCTGTCCCTTCAGCCCTATTAGCCATCCTATTCTTAATTTCCTCTCTCAGACACTCCCTCAGATGGAGAGACCAAACATCCCATCCCTCTATGTCTGGCTGCAAGAGCTTTGCCTATTGAAAAGTCCAAGCAGCTTGTTAAGCTAATTAGTCATTTGAATGGGAGAGCGAGTCCAATGTAAATGTGCTGTGTGCTGCTAAAACAATTATGGCTGCCTCACTACCTGCCTGGGTCAGGAAGACAAATAACCTGATTCATGATGTCGACAGATCCTTAGGACTCATTTGCTACTTATTGGGCTTCCTCTCGTCGCTCTCCTGTTATCTTGCACTTTTCATGATACAATCTCATTAATTAGTAGTTCTGTTGCAGGATGGCTGTTTAGCTGACCCACGACCAGTTTTGCTCCCAGATTGTGCAATTGGAACATGAGCCCGTTTACCGTTTAACCTTGTGATCCTGCCCCTTATGAATGCACCTATAAACCTACTCTTAGATTATTAGTGATAGAAGCTTGCAATTCACTATTACTATTGTTTATACTCCGGGTTTGGAGGTTGTTTAAATAACCATGAGTATTAAACTTCATAGCATAATCAATTCTACAGTATCGTTTGTACTACAGGCAAGAAGGATGCCGCAAATCATACGGCTTGTTGAAAAGAGGCTTGCTGTTACTTTTGAAATGGTGATGATTGATGGTGATTTCTGCCTGGGTGAACTTGCTTTGAACACTTGACCCCTAGAATTGATTTTTCATGGGCCCTACCTTTTGTAAGAGTTATTTTTATAATTACCTTATTAAATGTATCTGCATTGTCTTTTATGTAGAATACTTGAATTTTAACCAGTTACTTCAATCAGTCAGAATACTGTAGGCTGTTACCAATCAAATTTTATCAACATCAACAAAAGCCATCTTTACACTTAACACAGACTATTTAATGCTGCTCAAAGGTGGCATACATATATTTACACAACAGTTGCATAATGTAAATTGTCCAGACAAATCTAAATGCCTCTGATTGACTTTGCATTCATATTCTCAACAGAAATGTGGGTGATTGGTTGTAATGCTCAATGCTGCAAAAACATTAAATCTGATGCAATGTGAGCAGATCTAAATTTAATGCCACAATCGACATTTTTGTTGTTTTAATTGCATCTGCTGTAATAGAATTAGTTTAATTGCGCATGGGCATTTCTGCACGCTTATCTTAAATTTGTGGTTTATTTTTGTTAATTTTAGTTGTATTTTTGCCCCAAGCCCCTGTTAATTTCTGACCCTTGTCTCTTATCTAGCAAACAGACTTGAGGTTGGGCTCTTTTTGACTCGAGCTAGTTAGCATCTTAGCAAAGCTCCAGGAACTACCATTAAAAGCACTCAGAATGCATTAGAAATCATATAGCAGCACCCTACAACCACCCACAACACCTTAGCATCCTGGTGACACCAGTCACATTTTCTTCTGTAATTGTCAATATCTGATTGGTCTTGTTTTCGTTGTCTCATCTCATGTGTAAAGTCTAATTGTCTTTGACACTCTTCACCTCCATGTTCTGAAGGAGCTTGACTGTGGGGTGTGTGTGCGCGTGTGTGTTCTGGTGGTTAGTGGTTCAGTTGTGCATGGTTAAGCTGTAAGCCAGAGCTTGTGACAGCCGCTGAACATAGTTACTCTTTTAACATCGGTGACCTGCTGCTTTGACAGTCAAACAATGAGTGTGGGTGGAGGGTATTGTTCTTCCCTTCACCAATGAGATTTCCAATGTGGTATTATGCAACCAGGACTCATTTTAGCCAGGAAATTTCTAGCATTTACATAACGTTTACCACTGTTGTAGTACAACAGAAACATTTTATTCAGTTTTTTTTGTTATGCGTGTATAAACAGTATTATTTTAATCATAATTAATCATTGAGGTACTATTATAGTTTTTATAAATATTTTGAATTAGGTTTTATTTTTAGATTTGCCATTTTTGTTTTATTTTTATTTATTTATTTATTATATATATTTTTAATGCTTGTAGTTTTTATCCATTTTTTTTATTACAGTTTTACAGTTGTAGTATTATCAGGTTAGTACATCAAGGTAAACTTAGTGAAAATGAGAAATGTTTCCTTGGCAAATACCTGAAATAATATTTTTATATTCTATTGCAAGTATCAAAATGTTTTTTTTTAGTTTTTTTAAGGTCTTTTAATGTTAATGTAGTAAAATGTCACAGTTTTAAACTAATAGTTTTAAATTGGCTTGATTCCTGGTTCTTGTATGGAATGACCATGTTTGACCATCCAGTCATTTGTTTCACTCAGAAATATGTCATATTATGGAAGTAAAATGGGCTATGAATATCTATGTCGGATTGTTTAAATGTAGATTATTCTGTCGATTTTTTTATTTTTTTTTTACCCAGCCCTCCTTGCATATCTTGAATCATCTCCCCATCTATCCTAATATTTTTACTGTATTTCCACCCCATGCTTTTGCTCTGTCTGTCCCTTCAGCCCTATTAGCCATCCTATTCTTAATTTCCTCTCTCAGACACTTCCTCAGATGGAGAGACCAAACATCCCATCCCTCTATGTCTGGCTGCAAGAGCGTTGCCTATTGAAAAGTCCAAGCAGCTTGTTAAGCTAATTAGTCATTTGAATGGGAGAGCGAGTCCAATGTAAATGTGCTGTGTGCTGCTAAAACAATTATGGCTGGGTCTTTTAATGTTAATATAGTGAAATGTCACAGTTTTAAACAAATAGTTTTAAATTGGCTTGATTCCTGGTTCTTGTATGGAATGACCATGTTTGACCATCCAGTCATTTGTTTCACTCAGAAATATGTCATATTATGGAAGTAAAATGGGCTATGAATGAAGTTTCATGTTGACTTTAATTGTTTAATATATAGGGCGATTATATATATTTATAGTGAAATGTCACAGTTTTAAACAAATAGTTTTAAATTGGCTTGATTCCTGGTTCTTGTATGGAATGACCATGTTTGACCATCCAGTCATTTGTTTCACTCAGAAATATGTCATATTATGGAAGTAAAATGGGCTATGAATGAAGTTTCATGTTGACTTTAATTGTTTAATATATAGGGCGATTATATATATTTATAGAGCTGTTACTGGAAACAAGTGCTCACAGGATGTCCCAAGATGCTAATTCAACTAGGAGGAGTCCTTTAGACCATAATAGATCACACATCTTACTCTGAGCTGAATGTTTACACTGAGCTTGTCTGGACTGATCCAGGAGGATTCTGGGTTCAGTGCGAGTTTCTACATCATGCACTTAAATAAATGCATGACTATTGAACGAGTCTGTGTTGGCGTGTCGATCCCTGAATGACTGCGTGACAAGAAAAATCAATTGGCAAGGCAGCAGGATTCTGGCCCAATTCAGATTGTGCTAGAAGCTCAGGTTATTTTCCTAATGGCAGCTACTGTTGATCACAGACATATTTGTAAGCGTTTGAGTTTTATTAATGCCGAAATGTAAGATTCCAGCTTGTCTTCCTGTCTCTGATTGGCTCTTCCCTCTGCAGGCTCTGGCATGAACAGTCTGGATGGTCTGATTGGAGCAGAGGAAAAAGTCATCAACAGCAAGAGCAAGATCAATGAAAATGTGGTGAGCCCACCAGCCTGCCTCCAACACCACACACACTTTACTGAACCGTTGAGAACACTGGGCCAACTGCTGACGCCAACTCTCATGATTGAAATGACATAAAAAAGGATTTTTATACACATTCAGTTTAAGTGCTAATAATAAAATAAAGAATTGGCTTCATGATACACCTAGATGAACAATTACCAAATTAAAGACCACCTGCTCTGTAAACGTTATGGTTTGTATAACTATGGCCTCATAGTTATAACTCTGCCATATGAATTTCTTTGACTTTACTGCATTTGCAAGGCAGCACTAGTTTGACATTGCTGTTTTCTGGGGTTTGCAAACATTTTGACACCTAAATATGATGGTCACCCTACTTTTAAAATATAAAGACAGCTCTATAATAAATAAAAACCATTTATACTTTGTAAAAAGGTTATATTATTAAGACAATATGTTGTTGGCAGAATGAAATAATTGGAATCTTATATTCTCATTGAACTAATGAAATACATTTTTCAATTTTTTATAAATTTAAATGTATTTATAACCTAATTTTTACAATATAGTTCCAAAGCAGCTTTACAGACAGTACAACCTGCAGCGATCGGCTAAAATTGACAGTTTCGTAAAATATTAAAAACAGCGGTTGTCAAACAAATAAAATAATCACCATTAGTCTCATGATTTCTGATCTGCCTTTATAAAGTACTGTAGACTAAGAATGTCTAATTCTGTAAACTCCAATAATTTCAGTGTTATTTTTTCTTATAAACTTTATATTTAAATGTAATGGTTTAAACGTTTCTCATTGACTTAGATTGTTAGAATGTTGGCTGTTCAAAATCTAACCTGCATTGTCATATTATTTGCATGTTGAGTTATGATTGGACTTCTTTCTTGCATTTATTTGCAAACTTGGTCTGTTTAGACATCTATAGCTGAACCAAAGCTTAAAATCTAACCTTACCTGAAACTTTAGCACTGTTCTGCTGCCTTGCGATCACTGCTATCTCCTTCCAGATAGACAAATCTGGTCTTATCTCATTCATATCCCAGCATTCATTGCATGCCACGTTCACATATTTCCCAGTCACATTCCAGTCTCCTCTAATCGCAGCTCACACAAGATCCCGTGTGGTTGTGAAGGGCTGAGCTGAACACATGCAATGCATGATCTCTCTGAAGAATGTGGCTCATGTGTTCGGCTTGTTTTGAATTTTTTGCATGTTTGTCTTTCTGAAATCACATCGAGGAGCTATCAGGGGTTTGTGAGAATCTAAGCTACATTAAAGGGATAGTCCACCCAAAAAATGAAAACCCTTGTGTTTTTCCAAACCTGTATGACTTTTTCTTCTGTGGAAGAAGATATTCTGAAGAATGTTGGTAACCAGACAGTTTTGGTTCGTATCGCCTGCTATTGTATGGACCAAAATACAATGGAAGTCAATGGGAACTGAAACTGTTTGGTTGTCAACATTCTTCAAAATGTAATCTTTTGTGTTCCACAGAAGAAAAAAGTTTACAGGTATGGAATGAAATGAGTAAATTTTTTGGGCGAACTATCCCTTTAAACATGCTCTGATGGCCCCTTCATCGAATGTTTTTCGATACACGTTGAGGTGTTTTGTTTAATAGCAAAATACCAAGATGAAAATGATCATCTTTCCCTGCATTAAATGCAACCAGCCATGTTTTCGAAAAAGGACATAGTCACTGTATCAAAGATCATGAATTATTTTGGATTTGCTCACAGTATTTAATACCCATCTATTGCTGTAAACAGCACAATAACCACCACAGACATTGAGGGGGACACGTCAGCCTAATATTCAGAATACTTGTCAATCAACAAGCTTTTTTCAGTTTACATTTGGTCCCCTTGATCTTGAATATTTGTGTATGCCCTTTCAGTAAACTAACACATTGTACTGTACATCGCACACACCCTGACTCACTCTTCAGTTCCCAAGGAAGTAACTGAGACTGCCCTGTCTGTGTTGACAGGTGATTGATGAGACTCTGGATGTTAAAGAAGTGATTTTGAATGGTGTTGATCCTCTGGTAAGTACAGCGCCCTCCTGTGCCTAATACATGGTACTATCAAACTGCAGTCTCGGATTATGGGCTGGAGGGGGATTGCAGTAGGCTGCTTCTGTTCTATCTGTGAGCAAATGACAGTTTAACATCATTTATGACTTTGTATTGTTTATCCACAAGCTTCCACAGCACATGTGCATGTTTTTAATGCGATCGCATGAGCATGTCCGGTTGATACGGGTCATCATTCGTCATCTCGATTTTCACACTAAAATGAATTGAGCACTAAACATTTGTGTGTGAAAATTGCCAGTCACGGCTGTCAGTGCACAGTCCATTTAGCACTTTGTGAAGCAGATCAATACCATCAAACACATTCATTCATGTTAAAGCATTCTTAAAGGGATAGTCCTCCCCAAAAATGGAAATTGTCATCATACTTGGCAAGTTCATACTAAGAACGATTACTATAATGAAACTATATTTCAGTGGATGATAAAGTTCTGTTTATTATAAGTGTGCTCTGCATTTATGCCATCTGCTAGTTTAAAGGGATAGTTCACTCAAAAATTACAATTTGCTGTTAATTTGCTCTCAGGCCATCCAAGAGGTATTGTAGGTGACTCTTTTTTATTATTTTTTTCTTCAGTGGAACAGTAAAGAAGATTTCTATCTAAAACCATGTTCCTTGGTGATTCGTAAAATACAAGTCAGCAGCTATCGGCTCTTGGGAGTAAAAAAAAACAAAACATATCAGGCAAGAACTGGACTTCCCTGTTTGCCTGAGTAACAATGTTGTAAATAATGTTCAGATTCTTGCACAGACTGATCGTTTCACTTCAAAAGACCTCAATATATCGTCAAGAGTCACGGGTATTTTGTGTTGCATGATACTGAATTTTTTTATTTATTTTTTGACTCTCAAAGTGACTTTAGCCATTGACTTGCATTTTATGAATCACCAAGAAACATGGTTTCAGCAAAAATTCATCTTTACTGTTCTACTGAAGAAAAAGAAAGACACCTACATGTTGGATGGCCTGTCCAAATTTTCATTTTCCCGTGAACTATCCCTTTTAAATGCTTGATTTCTTTGAAGTTTCTTTGTAGTTTTCGATTAGCTGTCAGTGTTTTTAACATTCATAGGCTGGAAAAATCCATTCCGGAAGTGATTCCAAAGATGTTTTTCCTTTTCCTATCATTATCATTATAGTACGTTATTGACATCTCTATTTAAACGGATTTGATTAATTATTAAAACTTTATAGTAATAATTATCATTATAGTTTTATCATTCTAAACCTGTATGACTTTCTTTCTTGGGTGGAACACAAAGAGTGAATGTTGGAAAAGAGCAGCATGAACATGTTTCAAAGTATCTTTTTTTGTGTGTTCCACAAAATAATAAATGATGAAAAACTTAACTGTCCCATTAAGAAGCACTGAAAAAAATGATACAGGCTTGATTTACATGTCAGACATTATTTACGCTGTCTCAAGAAGACCATACATGTTTGTGTAGTCACGTGATTTAAAACCGTATTCAGGTGAAGTGTGATGGAACGTCAGACAGTGTTTGGAGAATATCTGTTTCTGTAGCAAATTCTTTAGATTCTCATTTGGCACCAGTTATGGCACATTATATGTAGCCATGGCAACTTTGTTGTTGCCTCCCTGTACTTAAGTTACAGAATGAGTTCCTTGCTTCAGCGGCATCGACAGCTCTTTAAGATGTCTGTTAACCATGTTTGTCTTGGCTCTTTGTGCTGTTGGAGTGTAAATACTGCAACGCTGGTGTTTATTTTTCCCTCACAGTTCAGCCGTGGATCAGAGCAGGAGACGTTCCGCCCCCTGGTGGATGATTTCAGCTTCGGAAGCAGCGCTCTGATTGGCCTGCTGGTGATTGCAGTGGCCATAGCGACTGTCATTGTGATCAGTCTGGTGCTGCTGAGGAAGAGGCAGTATGGCACCATCAGTCACGGCATTGTGGAGGTGAGCTAACGGTCACGTGACGCTCCATCATTCACTCTTAGTGTTTTCAATGCTACCTTGAGGAGGATAACAAAAAGGCTAGACAGACTCTCAATCGCTGTGAAGGATAATGCTCTCACTCAGAGCACGCAAGGACAAAGAAAAGTTTATATACATTTCATTTAATTCTATACAATATTTAATAAATATACACTACCATTGAAAGGTTTGATGTCAGTAACATTAAGAAATGAATGCTTACATTCAGCAAGGATGCAGTAAAACATTTATAATGTAACAAAAGATATAGATACAAAAAGCCGTTCTTTTGAACTTTCTATTCATCAAAAAATGTTAAGCAGCACAACTTATTTCTGAAAGCAATTGTTCACCCCAAAATTAAAATTGATTGAAAATGTACTCACCCTCAGGCCATCTAAGAGTAGATGAGTTTGTTTCTTCATATATATGACACCAGATAGTTATAGAAGTTCACAGAACTGACTCCGCAACAGCTGAGTAAAACTGTTTAATCTGAGCATGTGGCACTTTAAGCATTATCGTATCGCATTTTTCTTCAATATCGCACAGCCCTACTTCATAGAAACAGATTTGGAGAAATTTAGGATTGCTCCGCAATGGATCCTCTGCAGTGGATGGGTGCCGTCAGAATGAGAGTCCAAACAGCTGATAAAAACATCACAATAATCAACACAACTCCAGTCCATGTTTGTAATAAAAATCCATTATTAAAGTGTTTTTAACTTCAAACGGTTGTTTCCAGCTAAAATACAAGTCCTCTATCCATAATATTGCTTTCTCCAGTGAAAAAGTCATCTCGTCTGAATCGGGAGAGAAATATGCACAGATCAAGCACCGTTTACAAGCAAAACCAGTTCTAAACAAATATGTCGGTGGATTTTAGTGATGGACTTTTTCACTGGAGAAAGTGTTATTATGGATTATGGACTGGTATTTTGGCAGCTTTTCTCTTCACAAGACTTTAATTGATGGACTGGAGTGGTGTGGATTATTGTGATGTTTTTATCAGCTGTTTGGACTCTCATTCTGACGGCACCCATTCACTGCAGAGCATCCATTGGTGAGCAAGTGATATAATGCTACATTTCTCCAAATCTGGTCTGATGTATAAACAAACTCATCTACATCTTGAATGGTTTGAGGAGGAGTAAATGTTCATTTTTTTTCGTGAACTATTCCTTGAAGGATTATATGACACTTGAAGACTGGAGTAAAGGCTGTTAAAAATTCAGCTTTGCCATCAGAGGAATAAATTACATTTAAAAAAATATTAAAATAGAAGCCAGTTCTTTTAAATTGTAATAATATTTCACAATATTACTGATTTTACTATATTTTTTTGATTAAATAAATGCAGTCTTGGGAAGAGACTTCTTTCAAAAACATTACAAAAAATCTTACCGACCCCAAACTTTTTGATAGTCAATTGTTTATCCTTTTTTTGGAGGTGCTGAGATCTTAAATCTTCCTCTTGTGTTTCAGGTTGATCCTATGCTAACTCCAGAAGAACGTCATCTGAGCAAGATGCAGAACCACGGCTACGAAAACCCCACCTACAAATACCTGGAGCAGATGCAGGTTTAGCGGCGCTGTGGAGCTAGAGAGGGGTGAACATGCTACTGACCAATTCTAAAACTGCTCTCAAATCATTTCATGCATTTGAAATGCATATTCTGGTTCATTTCAAGAAAACAAAAAACAATGCTTTATTAATACTACTACTTCTAATACTGCTACTGTTGTACCATGGAGCGCAATTTTATGCTCTTGTAACTTTTTTTTTTTTTTAATTTGAAAGTCAATGGTTTTAAATCAGGAGAACATGATTCGGCAAATTAGCCTGGAATTGATTTTCCGTAATTGAAATGGGAACGTATTGTAATGTTATTTTAAATGTTGATTTTATAAAGTTGTGTTCAAATCTAGTCTATAGAGGTACAGCAAAGCCAAAACAATCAATATGAGACAGCAGTTTATCTACACCATCGCTGGCCGCCGGATATACTTCTTTTAAATAGATTGCTTGTATATGAAGGTTATTTGTAACGACTTAAATGTATAGTGAATCAGAAAATATGAAAAGAAAATCATTAATTCATTTACTTTGTAATTATTAAAAACACACAATATACATAAATAGAAAAAGTAGATGGTCAACTTATTCATAGTCATATTTTTTTTTTCCAGAGCTTAAATCTTTGCTGGGTTACAGGTTTAAACTTTGAGATTGATATTCCCGGTCCAAACATCTGATACCATCGCCTGTGTAAGGTTCGAACTGAATGGCGTGACGGCCTGCCAGATATTTTGGCTGATTGTGAATGTAGAGGTGCACGATTTCTGTAACATTACCACGTCATTTGTTTTTATCTTTTGGTTATGGTGTCATATACTTGAACCAATAAACGGTGTGGCCCCTGCAGATGGTCAGTGTGGATTGGTTTGAAGGGCCACAAGGTTAGGGGCCTCCAAACTCCCATATCACACTAAAATCTCTTTACTCGGATTTTATTCAATGAATGTTATTTTTCATGCCGTTACACTCCCTTTTTATAGTAAATCTGGCGTGATAAAATGTTGCATTCAGCTTAAGCTTATCACAATTGTACTGCATTTTCATTTAATAGCTGCCTAATGAGAACTGTCATGGAGAATTTGATCATGTGGCACACATTGCTTAAATCAAAGAGAGCATAAATACGTTACTGGAGTCATCTGTAATTATAATACTATGATATATTACTTCATAAGTCCCACAAGGACATACCCTTGAAAACCAACGCAAAAACGCACTAAAGTTACCCAGCTGGAGGCCAAGGCAAGTGCAAGAAATGTTTTGCATGTCCACTACGATGGAAGGCAATACTACTACGATATATATATAGTTTATAGCTTAAGTCCCACAAGGACATACCCTTGAAAACCATGATTAAACGCAAAAACGCACTAAAGTTACTCAGCTGGAGGCCAAGGCAAGTGTAAGAAATGTTTTGCATGTCCACTATGATGCAAGGCAAGGAAAAAATTTAGTAAATTCTTTTTTTTCTTTTTTTCCTCTCTCTCTCTCTCTCTCTTCCCCCTTCTTAGCAATGTCTTTGTATGCCTGTATAGTTGATGTTGCAATCATGGCTTTTATCAAGGACAACCTGTGGTGTGCATTGTTCTTATATGAGATGTTATGATATATCTTTTTAAGTTTGTTCTCTTCTTTTATTTTCTATTTTTTTCCCTCTTCCTGTGGCAGTATTTCTGTATGTGACTTTCACTATGCACCTAAATGGCTCCAATCTTGGACCTTGTCATTGCCTGCTTGATTGTGGAAATGGTAGAAGGGTTGAGGGGAAAATAATACAACGTCCATATATTAGAAGTAAAATATGATTGAATCCAGTGGAAATGGCTTCTTGGTTACAGGTGGGAAACATCAATAAATTCACTACTTCCATGTTGGTGTCATTTTGTCTTCTTTATTCTACTTGTTTTTATACCAGTATAAGAAATGTGTGAATGTTCTGATATCTGACAAGTAGTCTGATTTCAGTTCACGATATAAAAGCATTTTAAATATTATATATATATATATATGCATGAATTACTTTGACATATTTCATAATGGTTTATTTTTTATGTATACATGCATTTTAATACACTTTTAACTGCTTTTATTTACTTGAAAATCAAAAGTGACTCAGTATGTGGAAAAGCCCACTTCATCCAAAAATGAAATTTGCTGAAAATGTCCTCCCCTTCAGGCCATATAAGATGTAGATGAGCTTGTTTCATTGGAACAGATGTGGAGAAATCTAGCATTAAACCACTTGCTCACCAATGGATGCTCTGCAGTGGATGGGTGCCGTCAGAATGAGAGTCCAAACAGCTGATAAAAACATCACAATAATCCACACCACTCCAGTCCATCAGTTACGGTCTTGTGAAATAAAAACCTGCGTGTTTGTAATAAACGGATCATTAAGATGTTTTAACCTTAACCATTGTTTCTGGCCAAAATAGCAGTTCATAACAATCCAGTGAAAAAGTCCATCCCCTGTTGTCCTCTCGCATCAAAATCTACCAACATGTTTAAAACTGTTTTTGCGTTTCTACACTGTACTTAATCTGTGCGTATTTCTCTCCTGATTCAGACATGACTTTTTCACTGCATGGAGGAAGCAATATTATGGAGAGAGGATTTGTGATGTAGCTGAAAGCAACGGTTTGATGTTAAAAACGTCTTTATGATGGATTTGTTTCTGACAAACGCAGCTGACTCCACAAGACTAACTGATGGAGTCGTGTGGATTATTGTGATGTTTTGAACTCTAATGCTAAAATTCTCCAAATAGGCCTGAGGGTGAATACATTTTCATTTCTGGGTGAACTATTCCATTAACGTGTAAATATTTGTATGAACAAAGAAACATTTAACAACTATGAGAAATTATAACTGCAGATTTCCCAGTTCTTGCTATGAGATGTGACCCCACTCATCCACCAAGGCACTTGCAAGTTCCCAGACATTTTTGGGAGGAATGGCCCTAACCCTCAACATCTGGTTCTACAGGCCTCAGTGTAATGTGCACTCCTTCGATGATAAACATGAGTCCCGATCATCACCCCTGGTGAGACAAAACCCCGACTCGTCAGTGACCAGCACTTTTCACCAGTCCAGTCTGGTTCAGCGCAGATGGGTTTGTACCATAGACTGTATAAAAACAGGTTTGTACCCATAGGCGATGTTGTTACCGGTGATGTCTGGTAAATTGTTGCCATCATGTACTCGTCACGCAGGTGTAATATTCAGATGTACTGACCTGTGCAGATGTTGTTACACATGGTCAGCCACTGCAAGGACGATCAGCTGTCCTTCCTGTCTCCATGAGGCACATTGCAATTCATTTCCCATACTGGGCACAATGTGTCCGATTGAAGACCTTTTTAGGCCTTAATTTATGAAAATATGAATTAAGACTTTTTAAGTCCAGCAGAAACCCTGAAAAAGGGATGTTTCTTTCATATATGTGACCCTGGACCACAAAACCAGTCTTAAGTCGCTGGGGTATATTTGTAGCAACGGTTTTGTGGTCCAGGGTCACATATATATAATAAATAAATATATATAATTTTTTATGTATATATACCTTTAAATGAAATATATATTTGAAAACTGCTTGTAAAGGCGCGCTTGAAATGTCATTGGCACGTCTGGCACGTTCTCGCTTTTTCATTGGACGGCCTTGAAGACGTTTTATTTTTTTTAATTGGTTGGGAGAAATGGCGGAAAATTCCCATTGGCACTGAAAGGAAAATGCCATACGAGCATCAAATACCGATTATCTCGAAATGAAAAACAATCTACACATATCGGAGTTCAAAATAAACGACGAGGACTTAATCCAGCACAGCATATATGCCATTTTATCCCTATCGTTCCTGAAAATCCCCATCGATATATACTGCAATGTGGAAACCGTCGCCCGGGGCCGCGCGTCTGTTGCTAGGTAGATTATGTTAATATATGCAAGGCAGCCATCTCTGCAGCTACCATTCAGAGGGAAGACCCACTTCAACCTTTTCCTAAAAATGCTGAAAACTCTCGGGAAATCCACGCCCGAAGCTTAAGCGCGGATTCAGGATCGTCTCTCAGTAAGTGTCACGTAAAATTCGCAGCCTGTTTTCCGTTGGACGGTCGATTAGAGTGTAGATATATTTTGTCGAGTGTCTTCGCCGTGCTTTGTTGTTGTCTTAGTCCCACCCCAAAATGGAGTCGTGTCTTCCTCATTCTGCTGCAGACACTCACGGAGCGCGCCCGCCGGCCGGGCTCATCTGTGCGCGGGGACCCAAGCGCCCCTGTCCTGCATCTGGAACCTCCATGAAACTAATGTACTCGATTAAAACGACACCGTAGGGCCGTTACAATTCAAACAGGGCTTCTGCTCGCATCCCACTGTCTTTACCAGCCACCAGCGCGGGTTTATGTCTGATAAAGCTGCAGTGGAAATGTTTTTGTGCCGCTGCTGGTTGTGTGGTATAGTCCGACTGGAACTCCCAACCTGCGGGCTTGAGACAGGGGGGGAGAGAGCCTGACGAACAGCCCGATTGCTTCATTCGCCATTACAGCCTTTATAAGCCTTTCTCTTAATTTATCTCAGGGTTTGAAGAAGGCCGGGGTGATTGGCGTTTGTGTGTGCTTTTTCTCTCAGCGCGGCTGTCGGGGATTTTCTGGCCGGCCGTGTGTCTCCTCTACCCCCGTGCAGTGATTAGACTGACCGCTCCTCCAGTAACGTTACGCGCCTGTGTTTGGGTTGAACAGCGAGTTTACAATAAATCACAAATAACACGATGAACAGATGAAATGTGTCGAGCCTGAGCTTTGATCTGTTCCCTTCCCACCAGCCACTCTATTACAAGAAGTATAATGTCATAAATTAATCATGGAATTATTTTAAGTACATTGGGGTGCCATGTAAATTTCATGGCGTGTTTTATCATTAGGGTATGATACCGTCATTGTACCACTACGGTACGTTACTTTTTGTAAGAGAGTTATTCCATTACTACTTAAACAGGATGATCACAGTCATGGAAAACCTGGAAAAATGTGGGAATTTGAAAACTGAAGTTTCCAGACCTTTCCCCGAGACTATAATTGGAGTCTCTATTTGTAAATTATTTATTTATTTATTTATTTACACATTGTTGCAGATAGAAAATCATGATATTATTGTTTATAATATCATATATTCATGCCTTTAGCAGATTAGAGCTGGGCAATAATATAGTTTACATTTTAGAACAATAGAAGCAATCAGACAGTTGAGATTTGCTATATATTATGTATCACCCTCCGTAAGTATACTGTGTGTATGTAGATAAAATTGGACATACTTAAGTATCCAAATTTTTATAAAGAAGCCACTCTGACATTAAATTTGGCATGAAATGCAAATTCACCCTGTGTGTTTCCTAAATGCATATCATAGATCTAATATCTCTGTCGTTCGGCCTGTTTTGGAGGATGCATCAGGTGTCCTTCAATCACCCACAATCCTTTTCAGTCACACATACCAATTCACGACAAATTAATTAGCTGAAAATGAATCAACACTGAGCTTGTTCAGTTTCATAGCTATGCAAGACAAAAACACGATTTGAGGTATTATATTTTATCGAGGCATAAATGGTGCATAATGTAAACCACTGGGAGACCACAGACAGATGTCGTTACCTCTACTGCATTAACAGAAAGTCAGTTCGTATAAAATTCTAATCACTTACTAACTAGACCATCTCATTCAAGCGCTTAATGCTGAGAAGGACTGCAGCCTCGAAGCCTCACTAGGATGCGTTCTTCCATTTGAGAAGCACCCTTAAAGGTGACATATCATGAAAAGCTGACTTTTCCAGGTTTTAAGTGCTATAATCAGGTCCCCGGTACATCTACCAACCAAGGAAACGTGAAAGAGATTAACCCAGTAACTTTGTTTTGGTAAGCCTTTTTCTGCAAGCGTCTGAAAAACGAGCGCGTCTGATTTCGCTCCCTTGGTGACGTAGCAAAGGGATTTCATTATAATATTACCGCCCCTT